TACTCTTCCGTTAATTACTCCGTGACAAATTGCTGCTGTTCCCCTGCAGACAGCCCCTCTCCTGTGGGGTTCACCTGCCGGGGGTCCCCCCGCCCATCCCAACACGCTCCAGCCTCCCTGGGCATCGCAGGGACCGGGGTGGGGTCTGATCCCCCCCAATCCTTTCTGCTGGGCGGAAAAAAAATAAAATAAAATAAATAAAAATCCCTTCCCCAGCCTGGAGAACAGCTTTAGCTCTGCCGGCTGTTGGCACGACGGCAAAACCACCCACCCGGGCAGCGCAGCGCCGTGGGACCGCTGCCATGTCCCCAGCCCCGCCGGCAGCGGGAGGGAGGGGACAGGGACACGGCTGGGGTGCCCGGGGGCTCCGAGCCAGATGGCAGCTCCGCAGCGGGCGTGGGACGGAGGCGATCTTCTGCTTTTGAATCAAAATGTTAAAAACCCAATTATTCTCTCAGTCCATTTCCCCAGAGCCAGCGAGGGGAAAACCCTCCTCAGCAGAGCTGAAGCTGCTTCCAGGCGACCCGAGGCGCCCACCTGGGTGCACCCGGCCACCAGATGAGGAATTTCCCCCAACGGGTCCCGCAGGAGCTGCTCTGGGCTCGTTCATATTTTCCACTTCTGCTTTCGGTGCTTTTTCCCCCAGAACCCTCCCAGCCCACCCAGAGCCGGTGTCCCCGCGGGAGCTGCCCTGGCCCCCGAATCTCAGCTTGGACAGGGCTTGGGGCAAGCTGGGCTAGTGGAAGGTGGCCCTGCTCATGGCAGGGTAACCGAACGAGATGAGCTTTCGAGATCCAAACCGTTCCAGGGTTCCACGGCCGGGAATCTCTGATTCCGTGGGCTGGGCTGTGCAGGGAAAAGCCTCTGGCACGGGGAGGATTCGGGGGCAAACCCCGCTCCGCCGAGGAGGATGCTGTGCATCCCTGACTCCCGGGATTCCCGGGTTTGCCGGCATTCCCACCAAAACACCGCGGCCAGGCATGGGAGAGGAGGGCAGCAGGAGCCGCGGGGTGCCCGGAGTGCCCCGTCAGGTGCCGCTCACCTGTGCCCATGAGAGGCCCCCGTGCCCACACAGCCCCAGGGACACAGAGCGGCTGCCACGGCCACGTCCTGCTGCCGGAGGGGACCGAGCCCAGCCGCCACCACCTCCGCCACCGCCTCTGCCACCACACGGAGCCCCGGGCCAAGCAGGTGCGGCTGCGTTCCTCCACTTCCTTTGCCCGATTTATGACACCATCATAAAAGCATCCTCTAGCAGCGTGACTGCTAAATTAAAGCATTATTACTAATTAAAGCTTTCAGAGCTTAATAATTAATGCCATTATTCGGCTTGGAGAGGGCAATCCCCCCTCGCCAGCATCTGTGGCATCTGCCCCGGTCAGATGGGGACATCACCTTTGTCCCCACAGCAGGATGTGACCCACGGCCTTGGCCGCGCACCCCACGACAGGGCTGAGCCCCACCGCGCTGGGGCCGGACCCCTCAGGTCCGCACAGGGTGAGCGACCCCCGAGCTTCCCGCTGAGCCCCAGGTCACCTCCCTGACCCCGGACACTCGGGTGGCCCGGCGGCACCGATGGCAGCGGCGATGGGTGGCGCTGAGAGCCCCCTCCCCAGCCAGGAGCGCAGGCCGGGCATCCCGGCAGCGGGGTCCCTGTGCCCGCCGCGAATGAAAAGGCCGAGCTGGGACTTTGAAACTCCAAGCTTTATTGAGTTGCTTC